CAATATTCACTATAGACATATTAAAAATGATATTAATATATAGCTACATGTAATAAAAAGAAAAGGCTGAAATCTAATAAAATAGTAAAATTACTACTCCTACTGACAAATGAAAGAATGTGTTTAGGATATAACACATAGTTATAAAAGATTTTTTGTTTGTTTTTAAATCATCGAGAGACAATTTGGCTTCATTCCTATGATGAATTAACTGAGGCCAAAAGAGATTCACTGGAGAGAAAAAAATAACAGACATGTTAGTTTTTTTCAGCCATATCTTGAAAGATCTAATTAATACTAGAGAAGAAATTACCTCAAGCATTTAAAAAAACAGTAAATAAATCAACTGAATCAAAATCAATTTCCTTAAAGAAAAGCCAGGGAATATAGCTCCCCAAATTACTTTGGATTAAAACAGCTAAATGTTTTTGCTATAAGATATAGAAATTGATTTGTGCTTTCAGATCTTACATATTGTTAATAAAAAGAGAACATATAAGTGTACCTCAATTGCACAAGGCATTTAGAATCACAACCAAAACATTAGGTGCCATAAGATAAACAATGAGCAGTGTCACTGCTTTAAAACTGCTATTAATTTACATGGCTCTAAAAAACCAGAAAGCAGTATTTTGCTGATCCTTTAACTGCAGCCTGAGGAGCAATACTTGGAGTAATACTTGACTTTCAGGGCAAACATTCACTTTAATCCCTACGAGGTCAAAGTCAGAAAGACCCCTTTCAGTGCTCCCATTATAAGCAACTATGACTAACACTGTGGCAGGCATATAGAAGAATTATTTGCAAAAATGTCACTTTCTGTTTTCTGAGATAATCACCCCACGTCACTGGTCTTGAGTCTTGGGAGAGAAAAAGCACAGTCCACAGGTCACAGGCTTTATGGTTCATGGCCCACATTATTTAATCTTTCTTTCTACTGTCTTTATTTCCCTAATCCCCATACAGAGTACAGAATTAGAAAGCCACAGTGAGACTCCTTACAAAAAAGTAGTAAACTCAAAGAGAAACATCAGTCAGATGTTTCAACAACAAATCAGCAGAGCTCTAATTTTACTAAAAGCATTTAACAGTTAGTTGGGAAATCTTGTTCATCAAATATATTCCTCATCAGTATAAAGACATCTTAAAAAAAAAAAAAGTAGATATGAGATCTAGTTACTTCCTCACGAAAAGAAAACTATCATATGTGAGGCAGGCAAATAACTATGTGGTTATATCTAAAAATGCAAGAGGAGCTCCAGTAAGGGAGATACCTCCAGTGAGTTAAAGGTAATCAGTACAAATTCATAGAGAAAATAGGACTTGAATCTTAATCTTAGGGCTATTTTATAAATGTAAGTGTTTCTTTCTTTTTTAAAAAAAGTACAACTAATTGAAGAAACATTTCATAAGAAGGAACAAACAGTTCTATTTCATCAGTGGTGAGGACAAGAAAAAGATTATGCCTCAATTGAGTATGGCGTAGTGAGAGGAAATGCTTATTCTCAGTGTGAACAAGACAAATTTGTTAGACAAATATTAATACTAGCATACTAAGAAAGATTAATAAGTATACGTGGCAAAAACAAAAAAAAGCTTAATTCTTTTTATTAAATAACTCAGTTGAAAAAGGCATTTGTGGTAGATTATGTTAAACAGGTACATACACGAATATCCATGAACAGAATAAAACCAGAAAGACAGAGTGACAAAGAATAAAAAGAGCCCATTACAACCCACAAAAGAGACATTACAGTGAAGTAAAACAAAACTAAGCTATATGATAAAGATCATTAGAAATACCAGTGAAAAATGAATCGTCATTCAAAATTTAACACTTCAAGGGGGTAGAAAAGCAAAACGTGAGTACATTTAAATAAGAGAAATGCAAATAACTTCAAGAATGAACCAAATGATTAACTGCAAAATTTGTCTGTGAGGGGAACAAGCCTAAATCTCTGGGGTTGATATCAGTGATGAAATGCCCTCCCCTCAGCATGAGATATTATAATGACACAGCTTAGGTGACGGGTCCAGTGACATTTGGGAACTCTGCTCAGCAACGGCTGTAGGGATAGGAAACCGCTTACTAACGTAAGTGGGAAGCCAGAGTACACACATGTATATACACACATACATATGCACACACATATATATGTATGTGCTTGTGTGTAAAAAGGCAGAAAATCAAAAAATTTTGTTAAGAGATCATCAATTTAAAACCCAGATACCTCAAGTGATTCTTTTCGTTCCTATGCGTCTATTAGAAGAGACTATAAGAGAAACAGGCTTCAAAAATTAGGGCAAGCTTCCACAATTAACATTTTCTGAACCAACTAAATTACTGAATCAAAAAGATACTTACTTTCTATTTCCTGTTAAATACAAGTAAAATTAAATTTAAAATAGTTTCCAAAAAAAGATACTTACTGAAATAAATTTATATACATATCCACATCCCTCATATCTGCTTGCAACCAATCTTTCTTAAATCCAAGGACAAGTGTGTTTGGTTTCATACGACCAAGACCGGCAGCCTAAAATATAGAATAAATACAACTTTAAAGACATACTACATTCAACAAAATGTCTTTTGAAGTGGTAAAATTGTCCTTCAAACTGACACCCTCTAAATATTATATGCTCTTATCAGTCAAAATTTTTCAGCATCCCATACATGCATATTTACTTATAAACTACATATATTAATTGTATTGATTGTACATTATTTATAATTAAACATATATAAATACAGAAGTTTAAAATGAAACACTTGAATAGTTCTAACTGATCATTTTTGTGCTTCTATTAATATGATCTACTCAAATTTGCATTTTTTACTAAGAGAAATATGCTATCTTTAATCTACTCATAATGATACAGTGGAATTCTCAGTTATATATTTTGATAACAGCCATTAAAACCTAGAAGCAGAGCTGGACGCGGAGGCTCACGCCTGTAATCCTAGCACCCTGGGAGGCCGAGGCGGGCGGATTGTTTGAGCTCAGGAGTTCGAAACCAGCCTGAGCAAGAGCGAGACCCCGTCTCTACTAAAATTAGAAAGAAATTAATCGGACAACTAAAAATATATAGAAAAAAAAAATTAGCCGGGCATGGTGGCACATGCCTGTAGTCCCAGCTACTCGAGAGGCTGAGGCAGAAGGATCGCTTGAGCCCAGGAGTTTGAGGTTGCTGTGAGCTAGGCTGATGCCACGGCACTCTAGCCCGGGCAACAGAGTGAGACTCTGTCTCAAAAAAAAAAAAAAAAAAAACCTAGAAGCAAAAGTCCAAATGGCTGCAGTTCTGAATCACGCCTATACTCAAATTTGAATTCTTCCTACCAATCATGCAAAAGTTTCTGCTGAAATTTAGCTAGTTAATATACCTCCTCAATCGTTGCGCCAATCAATTTTTCCTGCAATCTCATTAGGATCTGCAATTCAATATGCTTAACACACATAACACGTGTATTGTGGTTTTAATTTTTATTTCTGTCACTTAGTTTTCCTCCCTCTTCATATCTTTCATTTTTTTTCTTTTATTTAGAGTACTTCTTAATATTCTTTTGCTGTTTACCTGTCAGAATTATTATCTTCCGTTGGTCTGTGGATTCCTTTTTTGTTTTCACGTTTGCTTTAGAAATTCCAAGTTTTAAACTTTAAACTAAAAAATTATTGATCCCTTATTCATAGTTCAACTTCTGTGTTTCTCATTCTTTCCTATATTTTCTTCTAAAATTTTTAAAACTTTGTCTTTTAAATTGAGGTCTTTAACCTGTCTGAAAATGAGTTTTGTATGGTCTTTGTACGGATCCATTTTATTACTCTCACATGTGGATAATCAATTGTTCCAGCCCATCCTTTCGATGCCATTTCTGTCCCATGTTAAATTTCCTATGAGTGGCTCTACTTCTTCTGTTTTGTTACACTCATCTAATTGTCTACCACTACTTCAATATCATATAGTTTTATGAAAAGGCTTTATATCCTACAAAGCGAGCCTACCCTCATTGCTTATTTTTCCTGAAGACTGCCTTGGCTATTCTTAACCCTGTCTGTGCTTATCAAGGTCTAAGAAACACACAACAGAAAGGGCTCAGAGAACAATATTCTGGGCCGTCCACCTATTTTTAGCAAGGTAGCTCCACAGTTATGCTACTAACACAGAACAGCACAAAATCTCTATCGTCCTTGTAGTTCTAAATTACACAGATCTTAGTAGTTTACTTTAATAAAGATATTTTAAAAGATTTACCATTTTGGACTAATATGAATAAATCTAGAATGAAAACATTTCTAAAAACTTATCCAAAACTAAAATGCTGAACGGCACGTCAACAGTGTAACAAACTCACCTGCATCAAGTACTGTACGCCTTCTCTCAAGTCGTCTGCGTGTACTGGAGCATAAAATGCCTTCATTTTGTTTTTAATAAGCCATCTCTGATATTTGGTTTGATCAATGGACATCTCTTTCATGGCTTGCCTTCGAGGGCCCTTTAAACAAAAATATTTAATTGAAAGGTAATCTATTTCACATTTATAAAAACCACCCAGTTATACTGGCTTGAAACAGTAACTTAATATCATTGAAAATCAAAGTGAGCTATATTATATTAACACATTTTCTTCTTCATACTTCTCTTAAAAGATTAAATAACAGAAGAAAAGAGCTTTGATAACTCGTAATTCTATTTTGATCCTTGCAAGCAACACATAAAATGTGTTATACACAAATACATAAAGCAAAAATCTAAAAGTGTGTTTAAGAGTACATACCATAAATATGAATAGGTAACGGAAAAATACAATTTATGTTTCCTAGTAGGGAAATTGCCCCATCTGTAATGTCTTGTGCTAAAGCCTCAGTTTGAACTGATTAGCCTAGAGACAGACTGGAAAACCCCAGAGGTCCCATCCAGTCTATTCTCAACAACCATGATGCCAAAAAACAAAAAACTACTTTGGATGAAAGTTTGCCACTATTTTTAACAATTGTCTTATTACTTGTTAAAACAAAAATGAATGGGCAATTACAAGTGTTTGAACTTAGAAATTCAGCATTTACTTTGCTCTTCTTACATATCATAAATGTTACTTCCCATATTTACCATAACTTCCCTCTCTGCTCTAATCCCTGTATTTTTCTGGTAAGTAAATGTTCTCAAGTGTTCTTAGGACTTTTTGAAGTATATTAATATGAAAGACAATATACTGAATTTCATTTTGACCCCTTAGTTATTAAGAAGATTTTTTTTTGGACAAACTGCTCTATAAGGGCAATATAATTTGCTAAAAATCTACTCACAATGAATAAGAAAACAATTAGAGTTCAAAATCTATTTTAAAATGCTACTGAGACCATTTAGAGGCAAAAATATTTCGAAGAAAACTACATACCAAAAAAACCCAACAGATTTGTCAAATTATTTCCAATCTAGAAAGTCCCACAAATTATAAATTATATACAGAGTGAAAAATATTTACATACAGAAAACAAAATTGATACTCACCATATGTACATGGCCACAGATCATCAAACCAACATTCTTTGTGAAATCGTGAACAAGATGAAGTAAAGCTGGGCGTGAGTTTGGAGCACCCGTCATAACAAGACACTGTGGCCTAATTTAAGACGAAAAAGATAAAATTAGGGAAGTTTATGTTTGGGGCAAGAAGAACATGCTTTTATGTTGTTTCTCTAAGAAACTTTATCTACACAACTGTCCTTAAGACACAGGCCATAGGATTCTCATAAGAGATGACTTTTAACCAGGCTTTCTTGGTACATGAGAAATGCAGAAACAAAACCTTGGAACAAACATCACGCCCAATGTCCCTCTAACATAATAGGTAACATTACACATCAAAATTCTGGTAGGTATTATAAAAGAAGTTGCCATGTTAGTTAAAAAAATATATAATAACTTTTCATCTTCTAAAGGTAATAAATATTCCAGTTGTTTCACAGAGCTTGCCAAACTTCCTGAGAGCACAGCCTTGCCTTTCTGTGCAAGACAGGTCATTTTCCTTCTTAGCTTGATCACATCATAATTACTTCTACTTCATGACATCAGCCCTCTCTAATCTAGCTTAACTTTAATAACTATTGTCACGAGTAAAATCACCTATGGTGAAGAAAAGATTTCTACGTAAACTAAAAGTTTCAATTCTAATTAATAATGATGAAAGTCAAAATTGAATTCAATTGCCTTTGCAAATGCTGGACAGTGGCATGACTTTTATTTATTTGTTAATGCTGGATTTTCACCAATTAGAAATGGGAATCAATCTTGTTTAATGAAAAAATATTCAGGCATCCATTTTATAGGTCCAAACAGATGAGTAAAAATTCCTTAAAATGAGAATTTATACAATTGAAATAACTTTAACAGAAAGCCAATAGCAGACTAAAATTTCTAACTTAAACAATTAACTTTTAGGGTAGTTCCTAAAATAAGCATGAAAACCTGAATAAAGACCTTAAAAAAATAACAACTTAGAACTGTGAACTAGCTGAACAACTTATTCTGTTTTAGAGAGTTGCTTTGGGGCAATGAAACAAGAAATCATAGCCCATAACCCAGACTGCTAAACGTCTCCCTCTCTGAGCTTCAGCAAGTTACACAGCTCCTTAGCCAGAGAGCACACTTCCTAGCCTTCCTAGGATCTAAGTGTGGCCCTATGACTAACCTAGAGTCCATAAGATGCTCCTGTACCCAGGCCGGGTGCTCTCCCTCCACACTTTCTTTCCCTTTCCTGTAAGCCAGACCATGGATGTGGTAATGACCTTGACCACATGAACAAAAGTACCTCCTAGGGAATGGCAGACAGACAAGATAAAAGGAATGTGGGTCCTAAATGACCAAATGGTAGCAAATCTGCCTATCTGTCACGAACTATCCGTCCATTTCTGGGCTATCATATGACACCAATATCTTTCTTGTTTGAGCCACTGTATTTTTCAGTCTTTTTGTTATGGTAGTTTAACCTATACCCTAACTAATGTAAGCTATTACTTTGGAAAATTAACTTGTAGTCTCTACCTTTATTAAATAGTAAACCAAAAAGGCATAATTTGTTTTTTGTTTGTTTTAGGAACGGGTCTCACTCTTTTGCCCAGGTTGGAGTACACTCGTGTCATCATAGCTCACAGCAACCTCAAACTCCTGAGCTCAAGCAATCCTCTCGCCTCACCCTCCCAAATAGCTGAGACTACAGGCACACACCATCATGCCCGGCTAATTTTATTTTATTTTATTAATTTTTTGTAGAGACAGGGTCTCACTATGTTGCTCAGGCTGGTCTCGAACTCCTGAGCTCCAGTAATCCTCCTGCCTTGGCCTCCCAAAGTGCTAGGATTATAGGTGTCAGCCACGTGCCCAGCCCAAAAAGGCATAATTTGGTACAGTTTTATCATGCCAAAAATGGTATAGTACAAAATCTATTAGGGGTGACTTTAATAACCATAGCAGAATAACCATTTGCTTGATTTTAACTGCTTCCCCCAAATTATCTATGGTATAAAGAGTTTTTTTAAAGTCACAAAACACAAAAATATAGAGAACAGGACAGGACACAACAGCACTGAAATATAGAAAGCCAGAAAGGAAGTAAATGGAAGAACAGTAAAGGATTTGACAAATCAGGAGAAAGCGAAATCCTAAGTAAACATGAGAAAGCTGTGAAGCCACCCGATTTTGTACCTGGAAATCACCAAAATGCCTAGGAATCAATAGCAGTAGGTGTCTCTGAAAGTGACAGAGTGTTGAGAAAACTAAAATAAGGACGACTGGTTTAAAGTTCACATAACAAGCAACAGACCCAAATCATTTCGATCAGTATTATGGGTGACTGTCCCTACCCCTCCACTGCACTCTTAAGCTGGGGCTTATTTACTCGAGAGGGTCTCTGGTCTGGAAGACACCAGCAACAGCAGAGGGCAGAAGTAAGCTACTTTAAATAGGACAGTTAGGAAAACACTTAAATATTAAACCCTGAAGCCTTCAAGCTGCTTGCCCACTGGGCTCCTGGAACTAAGGTAGCAAGGATTTACCTACAAAAAGAAGATTAAAAGATTCTTTTCTGGGAAATCTAATCAGATCAAAAAGAAAGCTTTTAAAATAAATTCCTCAAAGAACCCGCAAAGCCACATTAGGACTTCAACTGACAACCCCCCTCGCCAATGCAGAGCTTCCCTCACCAAGGATTACAGATACTTCATTTCAGACAAGGCTAAATCCAAGAACCCAAATTAAAGAAACAGGAAACAGTGAGAAAAAAACTTCAAGGAAATAGAAACTACAGGTGAAGAAAACAAAATCTTCTGGCAAGTTTGGTGAAGACTAAGATAGTGGTAAATACAAAGTTAAATTAAAAAAAAAATTATCAGTTCCACGGAAAACAAAAAAGCTGTGCGGCAGAGAAGAATCATAATTTACTACATGGCTCAGCTGTACAGCATGTTTAAGACGTCATAAAAATACAAATACTAAATATGATCCAATCAAAATCATGACATAGAAGTACACTGGGAAGGGGGAAAGGGAAGGATGCATGCGTGTGGTGGGCACAGGTAGATGAAAGACATCAGTGGGTAATGCTTAAATTAAAAATCAAAAACTACAGTAGTTCTCCCTTACGCACAGTTTTGCTTTCCTCAGTTTCAGTAGATAAAAAATTCCAGAAATAAGCAAGTCGTAAGTTTTAAACTGTGCACCATTCTTAGTGTGATTAAATCTCTCGACATCCCACTCGATCCAGCCTGGGACATGAATCCTCCCCTTGTCCAGTGTATCCACTCTGTCTATACTCTCCATCTGTTAATCACTTAGTAGCCGTCTCCCTTACCAGATCGACTGTCTTGGTATCACAAGGCTTGTGTTCAAGTAACCCTTATTTTACTTCATAATGGCCCCAAAGCACAAAAGTAATGATACTGGCAATTTGGATATGCCAAAGAGAAACCATAAAGTACTTTCTTTAAGTGTTTAACTGGAAAGGTGAAAGTTCTCAATAAGGAAAGAAAAAATAAAGTACACTGAGGTTGCTAAGATCTACAGTAAGAACAAATCTTCTACCTATGAAATTGTGAAGAAAAAAGAAATTCGTGTTAGTTTTGCTGTCGTACTTCAAACTGCAAAAGTACAGCCACAGTGTGTAAGTGTGTGCTTAGTTAAGATGGAAAAAGCATCAAATTTGTGGGTGGAAGATGTGAACAGAAATGTGTTCCGACTGGGGACAATCAGGTTCAGCACTATCCCGTAGTCCCCAGACCTCCAGGTCACGTCCTCCCTGCAGACAGGCGGAGGGTGCTGCTGCACAGCAAGACAGCATCGTGCTTGTGAAACATATGAACAACTCGCCTAGGAGTCGAAAGTGGTTACCTGCGGTGTGCGGGAGAAGGGATAGAAGAGGTGGGGCAACTACTGATTCTCATGACAAATCTTTTAAGACTTGTTTTTCCTCTTTAAACTATATTCATGTATAATTCTAATAAAAATTAAATAGCCAAATTGGGCTAAATTGTTTCTTAAAAAATGTTCCCATTACTATAATAAGCCAAAGCAACAGATTTTTATTGATGGCAAATTAACTTTGACTCTTGGTCATACCCTCGGTTCTGAGATACAACTTTTTACATAAAAGAATGATTTTTGTTTTTCTGTCATCCTTGGCATCAACTACCCAAAATACATTGAAATTAAAAGTTTTCCTTCCAGGGCTCTCATTCCATTTTCTTTTCTCTATTTTTTTTCCTACCCTAAAGCAGAAGATCTGTGGTCTCTGGGAACTTTGCATTCTAGAAAAAAAGAGGGGGTGGTCCAAAAGAGTAACAAAAAGTACACAAAGACGTTTTTTACTGGGACAGGTTTGGTAGAGCAATTCTTTCCTAGCACTTATCCACTCCAGGGTTTCTTTAAAAAATATTATTTTCCCTGTTGGTTTGTTGACAAACATGGAAAAGATCTGTGTTTACCCAGCAGAAGCCAATAAGGGGTGATTACTAATGACAAAAGAAAGTTTATATTGACGAGTGATAAACTATTATAAAGATAAAAAAAAATACTTAAAGTCATTTACTACTGTAACTGGCTTCCAGTTAGTCAATGATGAGAGAGAAGGAACTAACATGGAAATATTTAGTATTTTAGTAAAATTACAAAATAAAGTATGTCAAAAATCTTTATGAATTTCATATTCAGTAGCTGTCCAGTAGTTATATAACTTTAATCGCCACAGAGGGAAAAAACTTTCACTTGATGATACCTATCACTTAAAAGTCTGCAAATAAGAGACCTCTAAAATTTTCATAACATTTTTCTAAAGCAAATAATAATTTTTCTGTTTGTACAATTTTGGTTTTTAATAATTAAATTGCCCAAGTTCAACTAAAATAAAAAACAATATTCTATGCCTTTAGCAAATTTTTTATGAAGTATGAGTATATGAAAACATCGCTGAACACCAATTTAAGAACTGATTGGCCAGCTAAGAGAAAATGTTTCCATGTTACCTTTCTTATTACTTACCTAAAGTTTTTCACGTGGTCTTCCACTCCAGAAAGACGAATCGAATGCTGCAGTGCACTCAGGTAAGTCAGGGCTTGGGTAGAGGATCCCCAGTTCACATCTGCGGGAAGACAGTGTTCATGTAGCGAAACACCAATTACAGACACAATTAAAACGTGCTTTCATATTTAAAAAGTCAACTGCTAAAATAAACTACTGTACTTGTAACTTTCAAGTTCAAATACACAGCATGACATGGAGGCTATGGTAAGGTGAACTGTAGTTCCTTAGAGTATAATTTAGAGAAGACTGAGACGACAGTGCTGCAGACACGCCATGCGTGCGATTCGAGGGTCTTTTACGAATAAAGTAAATATTTTAAAATTATTGTTAATTTAGTCAAAAGTCTAAAGGGAAAGGAGCAGATCTTTACTTGTTAAGAAGTACTATTTAGAGTACTTAACTATTTAGATTATTTGAACAGGAAAATTTAAAAAATTTATTGAATAAACAACTTGGACATCAGACGATTATTTCAGGCATGCTGCTTTACAGACAGTAGGAGTATTAGAGAAATAACTGCTTCTAAAATCATTTGTCCTTTCCATCTCTAGGCCACCGCTCTAATCCAAAACCTCATCATTTCATACCTGGATTACAAAATGTTTCCTCATTATACGAAACTACTACACTGCAACTACTCTTATAATTTCTTTCTACTCTATTCTATTGAATCCAAACTTTTCAAATCTTTACTGTCAGATTTTTCTTCTGTGTTACATGTTACAATACTGAATACCGGACCAATCCTAACATACTCAGCATCATCATCTTACACAGAGATACACTGAGTTATTATCAACACAACACAAACTAAGTAATCATCAATTATTCCCAGTTAAAACATGTTTGTCCAATTTTCTTTGCTGCATAGTAACCTAACGGGAAATATATTGTCTTCTAGTATTTTGTGAATTCCATGGTACTTACTACAGTTCTAAGACCACGGGAGGTTACACATATGCTTATGAGGCTACAGCTACTACCAATACTATACATCTGAATCCTTTAAAAGAATAATTTTAAAGTATACTGAGTGCAACAGAAGGCTAATTATACAAATTTATAATTTTTCTACAAATAGGATTAAATTTAATTCATAGG